CGATCCTCCTTTTCTTGGTTCCCCGCTGATGCTCCAGGCCCCATCCCCTGCTGAGTGCCCACTCTTGCGTGTTCTTTCCTGAGCCACCTCTGTGTGTCTATGAGACACACAGTGCGCAGCTCCGTCCCTCTCCCTCCTCACTGGCTGTAATTGACAGTAACAGGAGTTAATGGCTCCCAGTGCTGTGTCTCAGAAAATGAGGAGGCAGACAGCCAGGAGAGCTTCTGCTCTCATGCACATTGCTGGATTGGGATCGGGCTCAGGTGAGTATAAAGGGGGTGGAAACTGAAGGGTGGGCTGCACACAGAAAGTTTTTTACCTTTTTCCATAGAATACATGAAGATAAAAAACCTTCAGCCTTTAACCACTTGCCTACCGGGCACTTATACCCCCTTAATTACCAGGCCAATTTTTTTCAGCTTTCAGCGCTGTCGCACTTTGAGTGACAATTGCGCGGTCATGCAAGATTGTACCCATATGAAAGTTTTAGCATTTTTTTCTCACAAATAGAGCTTTCTTTTGGTGGTATTTAATCGCTGCTGGGCACTTTACTTTTTGCGCTATAAACAAAAACAGTGCAAAAAAATTTTGAAAAAAAAAAAAAAAGTTTCCTTGTTTCTATTATAAAATTTTTCAAACAGGTAATTTTTCTCCTTCACTGATGTGCGTTGATGAGGCAGCACTGATGGGCACTGATAGGCGGCACTGACAGGCAGCACTGAAGGGCACTGATAGGCGGCACTGATAGGCAGCACTAATGAGGTGGCACAGATAGGCGGCACTGATAGGCAGCACTAATGAGGTGTTACGGATAGGTGGCACTGATATGCGGCACTGATAGGCGACACTGATAATGGGTTCTGATAGACAGCACTGATAGGTGGCACTGACTGGCATCACTGCTGGGCACTGACTGGTGGCACTGCTGGGCACTGACTGGCACAGCCGCTGGGCACTGACTGGTGGCACTGACTGGCAGCACTGCTGGGCTGCACTGATGGGCACTGGGGGGGTGGCACTGATGGGCACAGGTGGGTGGCACTACTGGGCACAGGTAGGTGGTACTTCTGGGCACAGGTGGTGACACTGCTGGGTGGCACAAGTGGGGGCACTGCTGGGCACAGGTGGGTGGCACTACTGGGCACAGGTAGGTGGCACTTCTGGGCATAGGTGGTGACACTGCTGGGTGGCACAGGTGGGGGCACTGCTGGGCACAGGTGGGCGCACTGCTGGGCACAGGTGGGGCGGAACTTGTGTGTGGCACTGCTGGGCACCGATCATCAGGGCACTGATGATTAGTGCCCTGATGATCGGTGCCGATCCCCGCTCTGACAACTGCCGGTTCTCGTCAGTACTTTCCTCACGATCTGACAGCGTGAGGAAAGTGCAGCCGAGAACCGGCATTTGCATTTTCCTGTGATCAGCGTGCCATTAGACACGGCTGATCACGTGGTAAAAGGCCGCTGTGATTGGCCTTTTACCAGGTCACGTGATCAGCTGTGTCCGCAGGACACAGCGATCATGGAGATCCCAGGGGCGCGCAGGCGAGCACGTTCTGGGAGGACGTCATATGACGTCCACCCAGAACTGGCCGGCCGCAGTGCAGCCGTCATTCGGCTATCTGCGGTCGGCAAGTAGTTAAAACCACTTTTATATGTTTATTTCCTAAGATCATCAGTGCCATCTAGTGGTAATAATGTGGTATTTTGTGTGGAAAAATATTGCCGCTAGATGGCCCTAACAATCCTAAGGCCCCATGTACACGGGACATTTCTGAACGATGGAAACTGACTGCTGGAAAATGTAGGTTAAAAAACGTCTGTTTTAGCCGCGTTTGCATAACGCATTTATGCGCGTTTATGGGCATTTGTGTTTAGAAGCGTTTTTAAAGATAAGCACAGGAGAACCTCCCAAATGCCCAGAATGCACTGAAAAGTGGTAAAGTATTAACTATTTCAGACTGTTTCAGAGAAATACAGAGAGTAGAAGCAGAGAGAGAAGTATGTGTTGAGATAATTAGGTGTGAGTTGCTCATTAACATTTTTGTTTTGTTTCCAAGGGTGGGAAGGTGTCTGGTGGAGTAAGTTATTAAGATCACCTGTCAGGGGGTCTTCATGAGGAATTTGAGGTGTGAATGGTCATTAACATATCTTTTGTTTCCAAGAGTGGGAGAGGTCTGAGATGTGAATTGGTCATTACAATGTGTGACAAGCTTGGTGGGAACATCCTGTGTTCAGTATTTTGTCCATCTGAGTACCCGTGAAAATGCTTTGCATGCATTTTTCCTGATGAAAAAAGGCTCTGGACAGCATCGGGAACTGGAAGAGTTAAAAAAAATTTCAGACGCAAATGCTTATAAATGCGAATTGCCGCATTTACACGCGTTTTGACGTCTGAACGCAAGTTTGTTGTGTTAAAAAAAAAACGACTATAAACTCAACTGCCTGTAAACGACTGTGAACGAAGATGTGTACATGGACACATAGGAAAACATTAGGGTGAGTTCGGGGGCTGCTGAAAAAAACGCTGAACAGCTCCTAAACGTGAGTTTATCAGCCGCAGTGTACATGAGCCCTAAGACATAAACATATTAGGACAGTGACAGTGACCGTTAAGCATTGCAGTAAGAAAACCTGTGGTCTAGCATACTCTTATATGTGCCCACGTTTGTTAAGTAGGATGAGTATCATTTTGTAGAGAATGCCTACATTTTGGCTTCAAGCTGTGTGCAGATATAAAGGAGGAAAATGGTGAGCTAATCTTTAAACTGGACAGTGAATTTGATTCCAAATCTCATGAGAACAGCAAACATCACAGGCAGCAAATGGATGCCTTAAATGACTCTATATTGGGGATATCAAACTAGTAGGCTACTGAAACATGGCTACCCAGCAAGAACACAGGAAGTACATAGCATATTCATCATAGATTTTTCAGAATACTGCTTAGCCACAAATAACCTTTTAAGATATTTTTCTATAAGACAGCAGGGACGGTTTACTTAGGCTGGCCATACATTATACAATTATCTGGAGATTTTTGGTTTAGATTTACCAAAAACCATATAATAGGAGGACAAACCTAAACGACACTTTCAGTTGTATCCAATTAGGCAGGCCCTTGCACTACACAGTTAAAGGTAAATCTAAAGGAAATTGGGCAGAAAATTGGAAGATAATTGTATAATGTGTGGCCAGCCTAAAACTGGAGAGTGCAACATCTGGTGCAGCTCTGCATAGAAACCAATCAGCTTCCAGATTTTATCGTCAAAGCTTAATTGAACACATTGCAGTTAGAAGCTGATTGGTTACAATACACAGCTGCACCTGATGTTGCACTCTCTAGTTTTAGTAAATCAACCCCAGCAAATCTTTATCCGTTGACAATAGATCCCCTGTAAAGGCCAATTTCTCATCAAAATGGAAAAAATAACCAATCAGTAGTTAAAAGAATTAGTCTTCGCTTGGCATCATTTAACCAACTTTCTGTGAGCCCAGGAGTGTCATGGATTCACCTCCTGGGGGTGAAGGGGGTGTCATCTCGTTGCCTGGGCTCACAGTACTGCTCTACTAAATTGGAGCTTACATGCCATTACACGACCACCATTCAGTACAGCAGCAAGGACTTCCAACCACCAGAGGGAAGCAGAAAAGTATGGAGATCCCCCATGTCATGTGACCAAAGAGAAGACAGTTAGAGAAAACGTATGCATACTACTATTAAAAAAAGTAGGCCCCAAGGTGGTGGTGGTGGGGGCAGGAATGGGAAGTAATCTTTGTTCCAAACCTAGACTTGGCCTTTAATTCAAAGAGCAAAAACACAAGTGCAGTATTCAAGTATTAAAAAATTAATTGGTATAGCAGTATTAAACCAAAAACAGAATTTTATATATTGTAGCCTACCACTTAGCTGTATTTTTTAAGACTTTTTTTTCTCTTTATTTTTATCTGGTGATCTGGCCATTAACACACTTCCTGTCTTAGGATGTTCTCACTCTCATGCAGCCTTTCTCAACCAGGGTGCCCAACCACCCTAGGGTGCCTTGAGGTTTCTTCAGGGGTGCCTTGGCAAAATGCCAAAAAATGCCCAAAACATGAATACAAGCCAGAGGGTGGAACAAGCCTGCCTTTTAGTTACATAAAACCACAGGTTTTCATTGTGCACCATTAGGACCTTTTAGTCGCCGGCATCCTGACAACTAATGACGTCATCAGTTGATAAGGAGGATGTCAGCTGCCTGCACAGCATCCTAGTTTGATCCTCTCCCTGCCCCTCTCCATCAGTGCTGGGGTCATATTAGCTCAGTGATGGAGAAAAAACTGAGGGAGAAGAGAAACACTGGAATACTAGTCAGTACCAGTGTGCAAAAGTGTATTTGCTTTGGAAGACTATATCACCTCTAATGTTGGGTGTCCTACATGTGTGGATGTTGATGTTGCTGCATTTTATGGGGTGCCTAAAACTATTAGAATAGTTTTTCACATTTTAGAAAGGGGTGCCTCAGGACTGTCCATAATTTTAAAGGGTGCCTCGGGACTATCCATGATTTTAAAGGGTGCTTCTGGGATTGTCCATAATTTTAAAGGGTACCTTGACTGAAAAAGGTTGAGAAACACTGCTCTAATGGAGGAGCAACAGAGACACCTTTGGACAGCAATATTGTCAGTCTGGTAGGAGAGTAGTGTTAGCTGCACTAGCATATTTAGATGGACTTGACTAGCAAATCTAAATTCCCGCTAACACTTTTTAATCAGTTATAGCAGTTTTATTTTTTTTTCCTTTTGAGATTAAGGTTTATATATAAACTAATAAGAGCTGACCATTGTAAGCACCCCGGCCAGTTGTAAATAGTTTGTCTCAGACCAGATCAAAGCCAGATCACCAAGTCAAAATAAAAGTAAAAAAAAAAAGTAAAAAAAAGAAAACGAATGCAGTCATTACATCTAAGAATTGGCAAGTTAGAATATATTAAATTTATGTTTTAAGGGTTTTACACCACTTTAAGGCTCTGCGTTTCCTTTTTGAACTAAGTCTATTATTTTTTCAGCTTCTCCTTCTGTACTGTTTTCTATAAGCATTTTAAATGCTCCTCGGTGTCCATTGGCAGAATACCATTTCTTCAGCAGTTCATATTTTTCTTCACGAGCATTTTTTGAATTGTTTATTTTAATTTCTTCTTGGTCTACTGGCGATAATTTTTTTGACACCAGTTTTTGAACAGACTCCTGTGCCATTAGGCCAGCAATTGCAAACAGATGATTGTCCAGGTCAATGTCTGAAATGAAAATAAAATGTATTAAGAGGTGAACACGTGTACAATGTTCAAATTGCAAAAAGGTTTCAATTATAATGATTGTAAATGCCATGACTGAGGGACATGCAGAATATCGAGGCTAGTACTTACCACCTAAACCATAAAACAACCCCCCCCTCAACCTCCTCCACCTAAATAACCACCCGACTCTCCTTTTTGGTGTAAATGCCACAGCAGCCCATTTATTTAACAAAACTCTTACATAACATAACACTTCTTCTGGTACAATCAAATAATAACTGACAGTAATAATCCCAACCGGGTCCAAGGTCTTCGAAGGCACTGTTACTCACATCAATAGCTCAGCTGTACCTGACGCCCAACGAAAAGGCCCCCAGCCGCTACTACACCGCCTTAGGGACAATACTACAGTTACGTAGTCCCAAATACAGCCAATGACCTCCCACCTTGACCTTATAATTGGGAAGGGACACCCATACCTATGATGGGCCCAACCCATAATCCACCAACTTGTCACTCCAGCACCGCCTTCAAAGACCCAGCGACACCTGCCCACTGCCATGACAAAACAGAAAACCAGACAACACCACAGGACATCAAATGGCGATCAGGAAAAGAAACAAAGCAACAAACCCACACAAAACAAACAATAGGACAAACACAAAAAGAACAAAACCAATAAACAAAGCAAACAAAACAAAACAGCAAAACAAACAACTAAACAGCTCCAGGGAGGGAGGGCAGGAGAAACCACACCCATGCTGGCACAAGCTCTGACTGACCTCCAACAAGTCCCAACCCCTCTCCTCATCCTAGCAAGACCACCCTGAAGCCCGATTACTCCAATCAGGTGAGTAACCACCCCCATCTGCCTATACTCCCACCCAAATCCAGTCTTCGCCTCGTCTGCAAGCCCCAGTCATACTGGCCCTCCCTTTTAGCTTCGCTCAGTCCAGGCCTGACTGGACAAGAGATCGATGGTGTAAGAATGTGTGCATATGTGCCACATTTAGGTAAACGTTGTGCACAAATGTCTGCTTATCCTGCTGATTTTTATATGATGACATTCTGGTCTTTCTGTACTTCATTTATCCATAGTCTCAAGCTGCATTGCTGAAATTATGGAACCATGGTAATAAACTAAATCAATTTACTTTTTTTTCACTGGATTATCATTTATTTGAAAATTATGATATGCCAAAATAATTTTTAGTAAATGACATTACTGGATTTAAAAAATTATTTATTTATGGAATTATCTGAACATGAGTTGAAAATCAAAGGCTCAATATTTTCTACTGGCCAGATACATACGTACATTACGGACACATAAGAAACTGACAAAAAACATCAAATCAGTTAGGGATCTTGGATGCACAATTGAATTGAATTCTAAGGACATACTTGTATGCCCAGCATCCCCACATTAGTTTTGCCCACTCAAATAGGTTTAATTGGGGAGTACCAGCTGTATTGCATGAGCTTTGACAAAGGTTTCTGGGTGAATGAAGGGTTCAACAACTTTTACAATCTTCTTTCATTGATGTACTGTAACAATATAGATACATTGGGGTAGATTTACTAAAACTGGTACACTCAGAATCAATTCAGCTTGTTCAATTAAGCTTTGACAATAAAACCTGAAAACTTATTGGTTTCTATGCAGACTTGTACCAGATTTTACACTCTCCAGTTTTAGTAAATACCCTCCACTGCATCTTATTGTAGCTATTCTGTGCAGATCAAATGGCATGTCCTGGCAAAGGCATTGATCTGCTCATAATATAACCTTTTTTTTGGATCAATGCTGTTTAACCACTTGCCTACTGGGCACTTTTACCCCCTTCCTGTCCATGCCAATTTTTAGCTTTCAGCACTGTCGCGAATGGCAATTGTGCGGTCATGCAACACTGTACCCAAACAAAATTTGTATAATTGTTTTGAGACAGATAGAGCTTTCTTTTGGTGGTATTTAATCACTACTGGGTTTTTTATTTTTTGCTAAACAAACTAAAAAAAAGACTGAAAATTTTGAAAAAAAAAGTTTTTTCTTAGTTTCTGTTATAAAATTGTGTAAATAAGTAATTTTGCCCCTTCACTGATCTGTGCTAATGAGGCTGCAGTGATGGGCACTGATAGGCTGCACTGATGGGCACTGATAGTCAGCACTGATGGGCAGGCACTGATGGGCATTGACAGGCATCACTGATTGGCACTGATAGGCGACACTGATTGGAACTGTTATGCGGCACTGAGAGGCACTGATAGATAGCACTGAAAGGCAGTTCTGATGGGTACTGATATGTGGCATTGATGTGCACTGATATGTGTTATTGATGTGCACTGATGGGCACTGGTATGTGGCATTGATGGGCACTGACAGGTGGCAATTATGGGCACTGACAGGTGGCACTGATGGGGTTGCACTGATGATCAGTGCCCTGATGATCAGTGTACATGTACCCTCTGAGGAATGCCGCTTACCACTCTCCTCTGCTCACGTGCTGTCAGCGTGAGGAGAGAGGACTGCCGATAACCGGCATTTCCTGTTTACATGCGATCAGCTGTGATTGGACACAGCTGATCACATGATAGAGCCTACGTCATTGGCTCTTTACTGCGATCGGTGATCTTCTCTGTCCCAGGGACACAGCGCACCACTGATCGTGGCACTGTTGTGCAGCCATATCATATGATGTCCTCCCAGAATGAGAGAACCCATTTCCTTAAATGGCAGGCGAGAGGCGGTTAAAGAAAGCCTTGTTTATCCTGACAAATCAATATATGTGCCACTCAAAGCGGATGTTTACACTAGATAAAAAAAAATAAGTCAATAGCTGCAAATCCCATAGCTGCTGACCCTTACCTTTCCAGGGACCCACCACTGTCCTCACCCGGGCTAGTTCTTCACCAGCCTTCGGGATCCCAGCGCTGACATCCTAACTGTGGGAAGCCAGCTATGCTGATCTTGGTTTCACAGCCGGCTGCACACTGCGCATGTGCAAACCACGCTGCGCTTTGAGAATGGTCCTGCAGTCTTCAGGAACTTGTATTGTGTCCCAGAAGACTGCAGGGAGGGAGTAGGGGAAGGGGAACTTCCGCTCGGATCACCTAGACAAATGGGTACCTGTCAACACTAGGTATCCGCTCCCTCTCCCCCCCAAAATGACATGCCAAATATGGTAGAGGATGGGGGGAGGAGGATTTAAAGCAGAACATCCCCTTTTGAGTGAAGTTCCATGTTTAGAATCATAAGTATTGATAAACTTGACCCAGGATCCTATAAACCAATTCAAAAGGGCCTTCCATGCCATTTTCTATTATCAGCCCACACTATCATCTTTGGACACTGCCGCACACCAAGTACCCTAGTGAGGGCTTGGATTCTGCATTTCTGTCAGATATTGCACCACTTCACCCAGAAAATTGTTTCAATTACAAATGTTTAGGCATTCTCATATTTTTTTCTTTTGTTTGTATTGGTATGACACAAAAAAAGTGGAGAAACAAAAAGCCAAATCTGACACAGTCCACCCAAATCCCCAAAAATTGGCTGAACAAAATTATTGGCACCCTCAATTTAATATTTGGTAGCACACTCCTTGGAAAAAAATAACTGAAATCAATTGCTTCCTGTAACCATCAATAAGTTTCTTACACCTCTGTACCAGAATTTTGGACTACTCTTCTTTCACCAACTGCTCCAGGTCTCTCAGATTGGAGGGGTTCCTTTTCCTAAATGCTGTTTGAGATCTCTCCACAGGTGCTCTATAGGATTGAGATCTGGACTCATTGCTGACCAGTTCAGTACTCTCCAGAGCTTTGTATTAGTCTCACTTTGTTTCACCTGTGTGAAAGTGAGACTAAACTTGTGGTTGGAGAAGCAAAATCTCCTGCGATGTCATTCCCATCTGATGAGCTAGTGGCTGTTGGTGCAGTCAGACACCAGCAAAGTAGTTGGAGAGTAATTCTGGAGCAATGGGCTCAGGACCAATGGCCTTTTTCAAGATTTCAAGATGGTGTCCAACATTTAGTCTCACTTTCTCACATCTTCTGACCTAGGTCCTCTGACTGCTACCAGTCCGGAAACACAACTTGACAGGGGGTGAGAGTTCAACTGAGCCCACCTGACCTGCTGGAACAAGGTTAAATGTGGCCCAATCTGAGATGTGAAAGATCTCCCAAATATATCCTGAAATGCTTGCCTTGAGGAAACATGTGTCTGTCACCAAAGGTGTACCTATGTTCAAAGAGGAGCCACCAAGTGCACATAAGACATGTATGGGTGGCAAAATCCCCAAAATACAGTAAAGTTTCTTAACTTGAAGTTTCTTGCTGACTTCTTGGATTGTGTGCTGGCTTTTTCTTTGACTCCCAGCCAGAAATGCATAAGCTACCCTCTCTGGAGCGAGCATGGAAACTGACACTTGAATTTCAGTCTCGTTTAACAGAACAGACGTTCATCTTGAGGCAGGAAGCCACACTGACCACTATTAATTTAGGCTTCACCTTCCAAGATCAAGAACAATGCAGTGTACTTCCTTGAAGGCCACAGCATCTTCTAATGATAAGGTAATGTATCTGGCCAACCCCATAAGGAACACACCGACCAAAGAGGTGATTCAAAACACTTGTCATCCTGCTGTGACATGCTTCAATCTTGTAGAACAAGCACTTTATTCAGTCCCAAGGGAATTGTCATGAGGTCCTCTGGAGGAACTTGATATACTTACAGAGCTTTGGTTCTATTTAAAGGCATTTCAGAAACCTTACAAAGGGAGGAATCAAAAACATCACCTTCTTGTTCAGGAGGGATTCTGAGGCCAGTTATAGCGGCCCTAAAAGGAAGACTGGTAATTTGCCAGAGTAGATGGCCCTTGCAAAGGTGAATTCAGCAATTCGTTTAGTGTCTTATTTATTTAATTCAGGCACTTAAATAGCGCCGTCCATTTACGCAGTGCTTTACATATATATTGTACATTCACATCAGTCCCTAACCCTTAAGGGGTGTACAATCTAGGTCCCTAATTCACATTTATATACTAGGGCCAATTTAGACAGGATCCAATTAACCTACCAGCATGTCTTTGGAGTGTGGTAGGAAACCGGAGTACCCGGAGGAAACCCACTCAGGCAGAGGGAGATCATGCAAATTCCAGGCAGGAGGTGCCGTGGCTGGGATTTGAACCAACGACCCTAGTACTGCCAGGCAGAAGTGCTAACCATTTAGCCACTGTGCTAGTGTCTTGACCACATGCTTATTTAATTGTGACAACTTGGTCACCGTCATCTTAATGACTGTCTACTTAAATAAAGCAGGAATCATACAGTCATGTTCATCCACATGTTCTATAGATGAATCGGACAAGGGTTGATTTGCCTGTGAAGGTTCAGAGATTGCTGACTGGCAATATATATGACCTCTTCACAAGGTGAGTGAAAGTAACTCTAGAATGTATTGACCACATGGTCAATGACTATGATAACTTCTTAGGTGTCAACCTCTTTATCCCTGGCTGTTTGAACCAGCAGGGCTCATACAGTCATGCTCATCCAAATTTTCTTTTGGAAGAGTCTGAAGAGAATTGTTTGCCTTGAAGGCTAGGAGCCTGCTCATTGATAGAATAGATAACCCTCTGACAGTGTGAGTGGAAACACTCCTTTAGAGTGTATTAGCCTCCTGTAGCAGCCTGTTGTCAGCCTGGTGTCATCATCGTTATCCTTGGTTGCTTGAACAAAGCAGTATTCATGCAGCCATGTCCATCACCATTGTCCTCTTTGGAAACTCTAGAGAGGGTTGTTTCATCTGAGAAGGCTAGGTGGCTTCTCATTGCTAAAGCAGAAAAGGAAAACAATCCTTTAGTGTGTATTGACAATGTGTTTATTGAATGTGACATACTGTTAGGTGCCATCATCTCTATCCATGGCTGCTTAAACCAGCAGGATACATACAATCATGCTTGTCCGCATCTCCCTCTTCAAATAGTCTGAAGAGGCTGTCTTGCCTGGGACGGCTATGAGACTTCTAATTGCCAGAACATATAACCCTTTCACAAGGTGAGTGGAAATAACTCAAGATTCATACCATCATGTTCATTTGTCTCTTCCCCTTTGGAGAGTCTGGAGATGTTGTTTTGCCTGGGAAGGCTATGAGACTGCCTATTGTTAGAACATGTAACCCCTTCACAAGGTGAGTGGAACACTTACATTCATGTTCATCGTATAGTCATGTTCATCTGTGTCTTCTTTTTTCAAAAAGTCTGAAGAGGGTTGTTTTGCTTGGGAAAGCTCTGAGACTGCTCAATGCCAGACTAAATAATACTTTCATAGGGTTTTGCCTGTTGCTTAACAAAGCAACTAAAATTAATTTTTTGAAATAGAAAATAGCTTGCTTAGTAAGTCTAAAGGGTTAACAACTGCTAGATGGAGGTTGACACTGCAGCATCCAACCACAGCCCTGAAGTCACCAGGGGGTAATGAACCAAACCTTGTCCTGCCAGAGAACAGGACATGATGAAAATGTACCACTTCCCGCCCGCCCAATAGCAGAATTACTGCTACGGGGCGGCAGGGATGTACAAAATCACATATATATACACGATTTTGCATTTGCGGGTAGGGGGCGTGCACGCACTCCCTACCTGTGCCAATATTGGCTCCTTGGCCTCCTTTGTGCTCCTGGAGAGCACAAACAAATATAAAAGAATGTCCTATACTCCAACAGGCAATAGCTGGCTACAGTAGTCATCCAGAAGCAACCCCTCTACCTTCTCTGGAAAATGTTGGTCTTTTGAAGGGGTTGGCATAATACTACAATAGAAGAGCAAACATGAAAAGCCACCAACAGGTTAATTCTATGTGTGAACAGACAAAATATTACTTTGTGCACTTGTTATACAGAGTACTTGCTGTGTAGGAGCTCAGGGTTTGCACAGCAGCTGCAGGGAGCAAAGCACAACAATACCTAGCAATGCAGCATTCATTTGGATACAAGCATTTTTCAGTTTAGCTCACCCAACCTCCGCCATCTGACTGTAAACTTGGGAGACTCTGCTGACACTGCTGCCCACTTTACAAGGACCCAGTGGACCCCAGACAAGGCTGTTAGCCAATTATAAAAGCTGCCCCGAGGACCAGCAGCAGGGCTCCCTGGATTATGGGTAATTTAGCCAGTACACCAGACTGCGTCCAGCTGAAACATACACGCATGGATGGACAGCCAGTCCTTTAGTTAAGCCAGGTAGAGGAGCACACCTAGGTCCTGCACATGGGAGGAAAAAAGAGGAACGCCAAGGCTGCAGGTGGGCTCAAATTTATGAGTTAGGTCCTCAAAGCATGGGGGGAGGGATTTACCCAGCCTCCCCAAACAAATGCAGTCACTACATCTAAGGATTGGGAAGTTAATATTAATATATATATATATATATATATATATATTATTCTCTTAGGTTTAGATATACTTGATGGAATGTGAATATATGCTAGATTCCTCCATTTATTTTGCTTGATTACTTCATATTTTCTTTAGATTTTGGTCGACACCATGCAGAGAAACTTGCTGAAAGATGCAAGAGACTACAGATCATTCTAGGGAAAAGAATAACTATTGTCCTAAACCATCAAGGAAGAATAATAAGGTAGGGATAACTACTAAATTTAGCCATGTTCATTCCCCAATGGTCTTTTTTGCTTTGTCACACAGGTCAATTACTTTGCTGCAACATTTTCCTTGTCTCCTGGATCTTTATGTAAAGCAAATTGAAAAAGAAATAGAACGAATAATGTTAGTGTGCACACGGTCTTTCAGCCCTAGCTTAGATAAGAATATACATTATCACAAAGCATCTAACAAGAAGAATGTTCTAAATCATGTAGTGTTTTACATATGAAGACAATCTTACTTTCAAGTTCAGGAGGACATGTTGGAGTCTGAAAATAGAAAGAAAAAAAGAGTCTCAAAATGTATTCAGGAACAGCACTTAAAACATTTTAAACACAACTGAAAACATAACAAAACAAGGTTAATGGTTCAAGATGCAAGCAAGATATCATGTATTTTATATATTTCTTAAGTTGGGCATACACCAGCAGAATTTTGAATGAAAATTTGTAAGAAAATTTTAGGAAAACTCTCCATCGAATGTTGTTTGAAGGTAATTCAAGATTTCATTTTCTTATAACATTTGATTCTGGAATGAATGGACTTTACTGACCAAAAATCACAGACTATTAGTGCATATATTCCAGAAAAATTTTCCATCCGGCTTTGAAATTTTTTTGTCACTGCAGTCGGAAATGAATACCGAATTTACCTCTATTAATAATTAAATAATGAACAAACATCCTTTCGATGTTCTTACAATGAAATATGTCAAACAAAATTCTATTAGTGTATACCAGCTTTACTAATGCTGACCATAGAGCAAAACCCATGGTTGCAGGAAATACATTTGCTCGATTCCCCCATCAAGATGGACTGTGTTGACAGGGGAATCTCTCCCATGGGTGGGGGGGGGGTTCATGGGAGCCGTCCCTATCTGGAGAACACAGTGATTATTGCTAGCAGATATAACAGCTGCTAGCAGTAATAGCATGTAAAATCCAGCAGGCTGGTTGTACCCAAGTTGATCGATCAATCAACTTGAGTACATTCAGCCTGTCCATACATGGTTTGAATCTCGGCTTAGATTCGAACCGTCTATGGTCGGCTTAAGGCAGTGAATGAAGGATAACAACCATAGGGCATGTACCTTCAGAAGCAAGTCAATGCCAACTCCCAGGGTTTAAAGTAAAATTCAAAAAGTGGCTCTCGAGGAGACAAAGGAGGTTATTTAATAAAAGTTGAGAGTGAAAAATCTGGTGCAACTCTGCATAGAAACCAATCACCTTCCAGGTTTTATTGTCAAAGAGAACTGAACGGGGGTGTTTAGTCCATCCCTACTTCCCTGCTCTACACTACAGTCTGACCATTCAGTTGGATCCTATGAAACTGTGTAGAGCACAGTCTACACTGGAAGATCAACTCCACGTCAGAGAAGAAGGCTCTGCAATTCCATACAAATATTTTCCAGGTGCAAAAATGAGCTGGTAAAAATGTACCATTTACTTGTGTATTATTTAGATAACAGAGTGTGCCCACTTCTACCCCTTAAAACATTACACTCTTGTTATAAGGCCTTCTAGGCCAATGCCAAAACAAGGGCTGGCGATTCTTACACCATAACATCCTAAAAGCAGGATCCCCATTAGGAGGGTTTACTAGCACTCTCTGTGGCAAAGTATTGAAATGTCAGGTGCTTCTTTGGACTACTTTACCAGTTCACTACATTTGCTGGAAAGGATCCCTGGCTCACAGCAAACTAGCTGATTTACAACCGTAGCAAATCCATTTGCCCAATCTTAGTCACAATGAGAGCACGTTTGTCACATGGATAACCGACTACATATGGATAGAATTTAAAGTGGATTAAAGTGTTTTTGGAAGACCTCTGGATGCGGCTGGACCTGTTGCTTTGTTGTACAGGCTGAGTTTACTGAATGTATATTAGCGACATGATTAGTTACTTAGCACTCAGAGGTGGAGGATTTATTTTTGTGTTTGGATCAGTTTTGCTATTTGGTACAAGACTAACGAGTTACAGTGTTGACTTGCAGTATTTTTGCAATAAACTAGGAAAAGGCTTGGAGTTTTCTGTTATCCTGACAGCATTAAACTCAGCTTAATTAATCTCACACAATATGCATTTGATACTTACAGGAGGTATAAAAGGTTCAGAGTCTTTGTGTTTCTGTAAACAAAACAGAGATTTAAAAAAAATATATATTTTCTTGTACTTTATTTTATACACCAGTAGACACAAATAGGTTTCTGCAGTAATACCTTACAGTAGAACTATTGGTAAACCTTTTTTTTTTTTCCTTTTGGATAGAGTAAGGGACGGTTATAACCCTTTTCATTTTTTTTTGCCATCTGTGTCCCATTGGGGAGATTTACCTTAATTTCCTGTCCCATAGCCAAACAGGATGTCAGAAGACATCCCTGCAAATAAAGGGAATCCCTTGGGGACCCCCAGGTCACCAGAACTAGTGTCCCCATTGAAAGATTTCCCCTCTATTACTTTTCTTGGGCCAGACCAAAATTTGTGATTTTCTTTTACCTTCACTTTCAATGATAATGGAAAAAGAGGACAAATAGAGAGGGGAATCTCCCTAACAGGGGCACAGACAGTAATAAAAACCTGACGGGGTACTAATCCCTCTCCACTCTATCCAAAATGTAAAAAAAAACGTTTCGCCTTTATTTATACTTTAAAGGGGAATTTCACTTTTGTTAAAAAATAAATAACAGCATATAAATTTGCTACACAAGCCATTTTGTAATTTAATGTTTTTATATTTTACCTTTCCATTTCAATCTGCAGCTGCTGGAATTTTATAAAAGAAAATTCAATGCAGTATGGCAGAGTGGAGCCATCCTCAGAAGTGTTATTTCCTGCTGAGTGATTGGCTTACTGTATGTTAATTACTTCTAATGGATGCAGACACTAGGGTTAATTTACTAAAACTGGAGATAGCAAAATCTGGTGCAGCTCTGTAGAGAAACCAATCAGCTTCCAGTTTCTTTGTCAAAGCTTAATTGAAAAAGCTGAAATTAGAAGATGATTGGCTACCATGTAGAGCTGTGCCAGATTTTGCACTCTCCGGTTTTATTAAATCAACCCCGTCTGTTCATAAATTCATAAGAGTGTCTACGATACTCTTTATAATTTCATCGTTCCTGCACATAAATGTCCTGTACCTGTTGGAAACAGGAGGAGCACTGGTGCTGGCCAGACTCAATGCAGCTGATCTCCTTCCCTGCCGCTGCAGCTGTCAGACAGTGCAGCAGCCAGGGAGTTTTGTGGCTGGGTGAGCCTGATGGGGATTTAGAGACACTAGCTCCCTGTCAGGTCTGCTTGTCTTGTGATTGACAGCAGGCAGTGGGCTGATTCCATATCCAAAAGACAGCCTGCTATTGGCTATGGAATCCACCCACAGCCTCCAATCAATAACAAGGAGAGAATGGATCTGATGGGGAACTGGTCTGTCAGCTTACCCATGAGGCTTCACTAATGCCCCGTACACACAATAAAGAAAATCATCTGAAAAATTTTGCGGAACCACTGATCGAACGATTTTCTCTTCGTTGATGAGCAGGATGTTTTAACCGATAACAATATTGCGAACGAAAAAATCCGGTTGCACAACAGTGAAAAATGTTGTTGTTTCGCATACGAACGACTGATTTTCTATGCGGTCTGTATGACGGTTGTACGAAAAAAATCTATCAAGCGCTATCACGCATGAGCGGAAACAGAAGATGACCCGGATGTTTATGTCCAAGGAATCTTCGTAAACATGAATGAAAAAATCCAAATGTTCAAAGTAAATTGGCCGAATGAGATAATGAAACCAGAATTCTGCATATTCTATTTTTATGTATCACTATCTATGTATACAGGGAATGTCATAAACTATATTATACTCATTGCTGGTAATTGTTGTGTATAGCGCTCGTTCTGGCCGGAAATTAAGGCATTAGGCATTCAACAAACATATTGTTTTTTATATTGTGAATTAAAGTGGTTGTAAATCCTGAAGGTTTTTTTACCTTCATGCATTCTATACATGAAGGTAAAAAAGCCTTCAGTATGCAGCTCAATCCCCCCCCAATCCATACAGCCTGAGACCAATCCAGCAAGCGGCTGCTGTCTCACCTCTCTACCTCCTCATTGGCTTACAGCAGCAGCAGGAGCCGCTGTTGTCAATCACAGTGAAGAGTAAGAATTGGGCGGGGGGCCGAGCCATGCTCTGTGTGTCTTATGGATACACAGAGTTGGGCTCGGGAGGAAGCATGCATGAGTCCCCCCAGAGCAAGCTGCTTGGTCTGGGGGCACACAGCAGGGGGGAGGAGCCCAGAGCGTCAGTGGGGGACCCGAGAAGAGGAGGACTGGGGCTCCTCTGTATAAAACCATATGCACTTACCCACAGAGTAGGTAAGTATAACATGTTTGTCATTAAAAAAAAAAGCCTTTTATAACACTTTAAGGCACAAAATAAATTAACAATGGCTCCTGCAAAACACCGATTTGCATCTCTACAAAAACGTTATTCCAGCCAGTGAGAGATTTTTCACACTTTTTGTGTGTTTTCAGCCTGCATTGTGGAAGAAGTAGAATTGTGAGTTAAGCTATCCTTCAGAAAGCTGAAGATGTATGATTGTTTTGTATTTTCTATGATCAGAAGTGGTGTAACTGGTCCTGCTTTCCATGTGTATGATAACCATTTATCTATATGCAGACTGAACGCAAACAGAAATCACACGTCTATCAGGGCTGCTGCAGCACTAGGTACGATATGTCAAAAAAGTAGATTTTATTAAAGTAAAATGCAATAGGTTTTGTAAATAAACAATAGTTACCTCAGGAGGAGATTTCACAATCTGTTCCTATGGACAAAGGGAAAAAAATCTCATGTCTAACTATACAAATCACTATGGTCAAAGTATAAAAAGATACAGCAGCATGGGGATTTGTTGTATATCAAAGATATATTCAAAACAAAATCTCAAATGCCTCGGTTATGTCAAGGCAGAAAGCATCAAAATATGGGAAGTTTAGCTGGAGTTCATTGATTTGTTCTTTATAAATTCATTAGGTTACTTTGTTGTGGTTATAATGAATTTATGTAATTAATACAACATTTTAGTAAACCATCAATGTTTCTATATTAATATTGTGTTCCAACAATGCATATTAGAGTATGGTAGCCCAAAGACAACCTAGCTAGTAAAAATGACAAAATAGGTGGAGAGCCATCTACTGCCCATAGGCACTATTAGTTCCAGATTGATGATTGCACAGCATTGCACACAGTGGGCAGAGAACATCTCGCCTACTTTTGTCACTATTGTCATTTTATTTTTTTAAGGACTATCATGTATAATATAGACTCACCTCTCTTGTTGAATTCCTGCAGTATCTTACTGAAATATAGACAAATAAAATGTAAATATTGCTAAAAATGTAAAATTACAAGAAAATGAACAGACTAGTGGATAGCATTATTGGATCAAACTTTACACAGTAAATAATACAGGATTATTATTACCCTACAAACCAGGGGCGGACTGACCATTCGAGGACTCGGGCACTGCCTGAGGGCCCGGGGTCAGTAAGGGCCCTATGAGATGCCCCTGGTACCTTTTATTGGCTTTTTCATAGGCTTTTTTGGTTGTGGACAAGGACCCAGGGGCCCTATGATCCCCTATTACCCAGGGGCCCCATGAGTTGCCAGTCCACCCCTGCTACAAACAGAAAAATCAATGTGTAAACTCAGTATAGAGTGTTTCCTTTTTACTTTTCCACCCTTTATCTCTTTATCTGCTTATGTATCTACAAATGAAAGGAGCCCATTTATAATGGTGCCTGTTAATACTGGAGAGTGACGCCACCAACTGATATCCATTGGACACCCCCAGTGTTTCATCCATACTGCACTCTGCATTTTACTTGTAATTGATAAACTGCAGAGCATAGTATGGAGCCTGTGGGGGCCAATCACGTCAATTTGACACGTCACCAAACAGGCTCCCCTGCTCCCAGCACAAATGTTTAGTATTAGAATAAATGGGGTGCAATATACATGTGTAAACACAACACTGTGCTTTAGAAATGAGCCTTTCCTATTAAAGCTGCGGTGTGGACATGGTAAGGTGATACTGCTGCTTTATGACTGAGCCTCTAAGGGCTTGTTCACACTTGCTGAAAATACTTATCAAACGCACCTATAGCGTTAGTAGGCATTAATAGGCGTGTTTCATAAGTATTTAATGAGTGTTAAAAATGCTCCCTCAAATGCCCTATGCGCATTTGCACTGTGGTTAACATGTGATTTTGGCATGTGAAAACCGCACCACAAACGCCTATTATTAACTGTAATGTGTTAATGTGTCGCAACCGTGCCGCAAACGCATGCTGGCCCATTTGCAGCACATTGCCATATACTAAGGCTGGCCATACACTATACAATTTTCTGTCCAATTTCATTTAGATTTACCTTCAACTGTGTAGTGCAAGGGCCTGCCTAATTGGATACAACTGAAAGTGTTGTTTGGGTTTGACCTCATATTATATGGTTTTTGGTAAATCTAAAGAAAAAATCTCAAGAAAATTGTATACTGTATGGCTTAAATGGAAGGAGTTGAAATGCTTCAACTCCTTTCAAACTTGACATGAAGCGTCATTTTTGAAGCGAAGCGATGCTAACACTTCATGTTTTGATATTGTGAACAGCACTGCGCTGTCCATACTATCAACTGCATAGGCATTTGAAGAGGGTTGAAAATGGCCCTCAAACGCCTGCTTTCAATGCCAGTGTGAACTAGGCCTAACTGTCACTGTTTTTTGTTTTTTTATTTTGTCCAGTAGACAGAAATTAGTTTTAGCATAGTTACACAGTTAGTCTGGCTGAAAAAAGACAAAAGTCCATCCAGTTCAACCATTAAAAAAATAGAAAAAGTTATAATCCTACACCCACAGTTGATCCAGAAGAAGGCAAATAAAAACCCAGCAAAGCATGATCCAATTTGCTCCTGCAGGGAAAAAAAATCCTTCCTGATCCCCCGAAAGGCAATCAGATATTCCCTGGATCAATTTACCTATAAATGTTAGTATTCAGTTATATTCTGTGTATCTAAGAAAGAATCCAGTCTTAGTTTTAGCCAGTAGGTGGAGCTCTAAGCTCATTTTCACATCTGTATCTCTGCATAGAAAATAATACAAACAATAATACAATACAAAGGCAAAATAATTATTGACTATATAAAATATTTAATTTTAATCTAACTAAAAAATATTTTTAATAAATAAAGAAATATATATAAAAAAAAATCAGGCATGGCTGATCACACAGAAAATTTTTGGATATTGCATAACATATTCAATCATTACTCTACTGTCAGCGTACAAAATTTCATTGGTTGTTAACTGTGCGTGTGCAGGACTTTAAAGACACTCATCTCCACAGACAGCCATATGATTAATAAATGTATAAATCATTATTGTAACAACATTATAAAGATGAATAAAAAACACATATAGGCTGAACATGTTTCAAAAACTCCTGTCCTCTCTGCCTGGTAGTCTCTTGGCCTCTTGGAATACAAACACTCGTTCCATGATGGCCTCTCCATTCCGCCGCCATGCATGCGCAATATTGTCACTTCTTTTGTTGCACAGCAGGAGATCCAATAGAGGACAGCAGCCCTTCTCTTCCTGCTGCATTATATTTTAGTAGGGACAGACTAGCTGGCAGTGCATGGTTCAATGATGACACTTGCCCTTTATTTTCTGCTCTAGGCATATTTAAGGGGCCTGTCCTGGGGCATGGCTGTTACTGCTTCTTTCCCAAGTGGACTGGTGCAGCTGGCCATGCCCCAGGACAGATTCCCCTGTTGTGGTGTTTAACCACTTGCCTACTGGGCACTTATACCCCCTTCCTGCCCAGGCCAATTTTCAGCTTTTAGTGCTGTCGCACTTTGAATGACAATTACATGGTTTTAGTATTTTTGGCACACAAATAGAGCTTTCTTTTGGTGGTATTTAATCGCTGCTGTGTGTCTTATTTTTTGCGCTATAAACAAAAAAAGAGCACAAAATTTAAAAAAAAATGTTTTTCTTTGTTTCTATTATAAAATTTTGCAAACAGGTAATTTTTCTCCTTCACTGATGTGCGTTGATGAGGCTGCACTGATGGGCAGAACTGATGAGCACTGATAGGAGGCACTGATAGGCTGCATTGATAGGCAGCACTGTTGAGCTGGCACTGATGATGCTGCACTGATAGGCAACACTGATGGGCAGCAGTGATGGGTGGCACTGATGGGCACAGGTGGGTGGCACTGATGGGCACAGGTGGGTGGCAATGATGGGCAGAGGTGGGTGGCACTGATGGGTACAGGTGGGTGGCACTGATGGGTACAGGTGGGTGACACAGGTGGGCGGCACTGCTGGTCATTGATCATCAGTGCCCTGATGATCAGTGCCGATCACTTCTCTGACAATTGCCGATTATTGGCAGTACTTTCACAGCGTGAGGAAAGTGCAGTTGATAACCGGCAACTGTATTTACCCGGTGATCTGCTGTGTCATTGGACACAGCTGATCACGTGGTAAAAGGCCGCTGTGATTGGCCGTTTTTCATCACATGATCAGCTGTGTCCGTAGGACACAGGGATCATCTGCAGCACCTGGTGTGCACCTCAGGGGGCGTGTTCTGGAATGACGTCCATGAACGTCGTCCCAGAACTAGACAACCACGCTGTAGCCGTCTTTCGGAAGTTAAGGTCAGATGTTCTTATTATTCTATTCCTGTTCTTTCTCCTAATTACAATGGTTTTAAAAAGTCTACACACCCCTGTTAAAATGTCAGCTTTCTGTGATGTAACAACATGAGACAAAGATAAATAATTTCAGAACTTTTTCCACCTATAATGTGACCTGTAAACTGTACAACTCAATTGAAAAACAAACTGAAATCTTTTAGGGGGGAAGTAAATATAAAAAACTAAAATAATATGGTGGACAAGTGTGCACACCCTCTTATAACTGGGGATGTAGCTATGTTTAGAATTAAGCAACCACATTCAAAATCATGTTCAATAGTCAGTTCACACCGGCCATCATTTAAAGTGCCTCTGATTAACCCCAAATAAAGTTCAGCTGTTCTAGTAGGTCTTTCCTGACATTTTCTTAGTCGCATCCTACAGGAAAAGCCATGGTCCGCAGCTTCCAAAGCATCAGAGGGATCTCACTGTTAAAAGGTATCAGTCAGGAGAAGGGTACAAACGAATTTTCAAGGCATTAGATATAACAGGGAACACAATGAAGACAGTCATCATCAAGTGGAGAAAATATGGCGCAACAGTGACATTACCAAGAACTGGACATCCCTACAAAATTGGTGAAAAGACGAGAAGAAAACTGGTCTGGGAGGCTGCCAAGAGGCCTACAGCAACATTAAAGGAGCTGCAGGAATATCTGGCAAGTACTGGCTGTGTGGTACATGTGACAACAATCCCCCATATTCTTCATATGTCTGGACTATGGGGTAGAGTGGCAAGATGGAAGCTTTTTCTTACAAAGAAAGACATCCAAGTCCAGATACAAAATCACATATGATGTCTCCCAAAAGCATGTGGGAAAATGTGTTATGGTCTGATGAAACCAAGGTTGAACTTTTTGGCCATAATTCCAAAAGATATGTTTGGCGCAAAAACAACACTGCACATCACCAAAAGAACACCATACCCACAGTGAAGCATGGTGGTGGCAGCATCATGGTTTGGGGCTGTGTTTCTTCAGCTGGAACTGGGGCCTTCATTAAGGTAGAGGGAATTATGAACAGTTCCAAATACCAGTCAATATTGGCACAAAACCTTCAGGCTAACTGCTAGAAAGCTGAACATGAAGAGGAACTTAATTTTTCAGCATGAGAACGATCCAAAGCATACATCCAAATCAACAAAGGAATGGATTCACCAGAAGAAGATTAAGGTTTTGAGTCCAATAGAAAATCTGTGGGGGGATCTGAAGAGGGTTGTACACAGGAGATTCCCTAGCAATCTGACAGATTTAGATTTTTTTTTGCAAGGAAGAGTGGCCAAATATTGCCAAGTCAAGATGTACCATGCTGATAGACTCATACCCAAAAAGACTGAGTGCTGGAATCAAATCAAAAGGTGCTTCAATAAAGTATTAGTTTAAGGGTGTGCACACTTATGCAACCATATTATTGTAGTTTTTTTATTTTTACTTCCCTCCACCTAAAAGATTTCAGTTTGTTGTTCAACTGAGTTGTACAGTTTATAGGTCACATTAAAGGTGGAAAAAGTTCTGAAATGGTTTATCTTTGTCTCTTTTTTTTTTACATCACAAAACCTGACATTTTAACAGGGGTGTGTAGACTTTTTATATCCACTGTATT